TACAAATTTCTTTTATCTTTTATAGAACATAATAATGTTTAAGTCGAAAGCATTGGTAGTATAGTAGAGCCAATTCTTTTGGCAAAGTTTTCTTTTTACTCATAACACTTAAATGTAAGACCTTACTAAAAAGGCTCAAACTAACCACTCAAAATTTTATATTTTTGATAATTATAAAATATAAATTTAAATGATAAAACAAAAATTTATTTTTTATATAACTTTTTAAAATGAAAAACAAAACAAAAATAAGATAGTATTTGCGTATTTATTAGTTAAAATAAAAAAATCAAAATGGGAAATCCTAAAAATGTCAACTCCATCCCAAGCTAGTATGAACAGAAATTTAGAACACTCTAATGAGAGATGAATGTGACACTTTAGGAGAAGCTTCATCCATTTCGCTGTCTCAGTGGTTTATCTTTGCCCTGGCAACACACATATGGATGGAGACGGTCAAAAAGGAGAAGAAAGAAGGAATAATTAACCCAAAGAATAAAGATAAAAAGCCTTTGGCATATCTATGGACATTGAAACTTGACAGGCTCATATGGGTATGTAGATGGAAAGAATCTTGACTTTTACCACCATGAAATTTTTGTAAGGTTAATATGACCCATTGTTTTTACGTGGGCCACACCGCATAATCTAAGTATATAGATGAGAATTATTTGGAGTATTTCTACACGCCTTAGTTCAGTGGATCATGAACCTCCACGACGTTAAGTAATTGCATGAGATTTAGATTCTTGGAACAAAATCTTCCAAATGGGACCTATTGAATATTGAAAACATTTGAAGATCAAGGTTAATGATCTAAGCATGCTTTGCTAAACCCATAAACAAAATGTGAAACAATGGCTACGTATATTTCCATGCTATTAGAAAACTTAATGAGAAGCGTTGTCTAGTTACTTACTTTCGGTTAAGATGGAAATTTTAAAGACTTGGTGGAATCACAACTTAATTTGATTAGAGATGCTAGGCGTGGTGTTTGCACAAGTGAATAAACACGTGGATATTGACACCACAGGTTATTCTTTTTACCAAATGCTAGTTTATCTTAAATGATGATACGTGTGGGGGAAGGTTTGTTTATATTAGGTTTTTAAATTATTTTGTTTAACAATCTTTTATTGATAGTGAGTTTTATTAATTTAATCACTCGTTTGAAAGTTCTAATTAACTGAATTAAATTTATAAACTTTTATAAAAAAATCCAAAATTATTTTGTATATTTTTAACTAATTTTATTTTAACATATACAAAATTATAATTAATAGGTATTTATTTTTAATATTTAATATATTCAAATGTGAAAATGATATCACATAATTCTTTAGAAAAAAATATAAATAACTTGAGATGTATTATATTTCAGTGTTTTTAGAAATTTATGTTCCCTAAATTATTGTAAAACTCTTTCAAATTATAATAAGTTTTTAAGATATTAACTTGAGAAAAAGAACACCTTTACAGGAACATACGAGGTATGGAATTATTTGTCTTTAAAAATTATATTTTTTATTTTTGAAAATATTAAAAATATGTTTGATATGTTTTAAATATCATTAAAAGTTAATGTTATATAATGATTCATATGAAATCGTGTTTAGTTTAAATAATAATAAAATTCAAGGTTAACTTACAACTTTGCTTAAAGAAATTTACTGACAATAATACATTTTTTAATATTTTTTTCTAACATACTATTTATTATTAATTAAAATTTAAAAAACATAAGAGATAGAATATTATGAGAAAAAAATGAAATATATATTATTTTTACAGTATCAATAAATTTTAGTTAATAATAAAAAATTGTATTATTGTTAACATTAAGAATGCGGTACAATCTATGGTGATTTACATTGCTGAAGATAGTAGCGCTAAATGCCAAGCAGTGGATGTTCATGTTGGGTTGCCAAACAATCGCACGGGGCATGAGGCTCGTCCTCTTCTTTACCCATTTGCTTCCTGTGAGAGAATTACAGGTTTCCTATAAAATAATAAAATGAGTTTTTTCTTTTTAAAAATAAAAAATCATAAATCTCTTTTGTTTGGTTAAGTTTTTGTTACACATATTTTATCTTTTCAAATAAATCTTTCATAATTAGTCCCTTTTTTTAACAAATGGTCTCTTTTGTTTATCTTTTAATTGGTCCCTCGAAATATCATAAAAATTTCATTTGCTCTCTCAATTTAAGAAGACAATATAAAAATGTATGATATTTGTGAAAATTAAATGAAGAATTGTAATATTTAAGAGATTAAATATTTTTTTATAAAAATTGGAGAAATTAAATGAGAAATTAGACTAATAAGAGGACCTTTTTGTTAAAAAGAAAATTAAATTATTTTTTATAATCATATTTTCATCATATTTGCAAATTTGATTTTGCTTATTGTTTCTTCATTTTCACCTTTGACTAACTAAGTAGATGCTAGCATATTCTGATATGAAAGTGGTACCAGAAGTATGTATTTTTTTTTTCAGGGATAAACTAAAAAGTATGTTCTCTGTTTGGTTTATATTAAAAAACTATACTTTTGAAGAGAAAAAAAAAGGTATCCTGGGTTCAATGTATTGATTAATTAATCATGAACAATACATTAATTTCAAAATAGAGAGCTATTCTGTGTTTTTCTTTTCTTCATAAACATTTTCAATTTGTTATTTAGATTGTTTTATTTTTTTCCTTATATAATTTTAAATATTTTGCTCAAATATTTTCCTATTTAATTCATTTTTTAAGTTGAACTTAAATTTTAAAAAATCTGTTTAATATATCAGACACCCTTTAATTCTTCAAATAATTATTTAATATTGCATGGCATCAATTCCGTCGCAATAAATAGTAATTTTAAATTATTTAAATGTCAATAAAAGTGTCATTTGATGACAAAAAAAGTAAATAATAATAATACTATAATTTAATTGATTTACAAAAATATACCAAAGAACCAAAAAACAAAGATTGCCAATTTTTTTAATATATATTTTCCAAAGTAAATGAGCTGTTCTATTTCGTTTCAGTTTTAAAAAATGATTGAAAACAAAATTTAGAATAATAAGATTGAGAGAATAAAAGGCATATTTCTAGAGAGATATGGGATATTTAAAGAATAAAGTTAACTTTCCATTTGTATGTACTTGGAATTAGAAGAACATTCTTTTATTTTTTTCCCTATTTATCTAGTCTATCTTGCTCGTTCACATAGATTAATTCCTGTAAGTTTAGTAGCTTTCAACGCAAATTTTTTGGCCTAAATCACAAGTATTTTTTATAATAAGTAATTTTGAGTCTGTTGAATTTATTTGAAAAAAGTATTATAAGAATTAAAGTACAAAGTACATGGTATTAAATATTGAGAAAGTAAAATAACAAAATAGAAAAAATGTTTATATCATTTTAAATCACTTCTTTTTATAGATGATGTTGTTTTAATCACGATCAAATTAACTTTCCTAACAACGACTAAAAATTACATGTTTTATAAAACTGTTTAAAATGCTAATTTTTGTGCCTTGATTAATAAAAATTAAGAAGATAAACAATTACTTAACTAAATTTGATAAATGATTAAATTTAACGAAATCATTTTTTCCAAAGTATTTTTATGAAACTTATATACATGAATAGTTATTTTACAAAGTAACTTAATTCAAACATAACCTTATTTTCAGTCCAAACGTATCACGACAATACATTTCAACTTGTGGATTATAACAATGTAACTGATCTGCTGTGCCTCTAGTGAGTTCGATGATAACAAAAACTCCAAAATATGTTGCTACGGAGCTCATAAGCGAGGTTGGTGATAAACCATGTAGGGGTACTTGCAAACAAAAGGTAGCGTTAGTGTTTATACGAACAAAGTAAAATCAGTGAACAAATCATATATTTCATCAAGTGAAATCTTGTTGATTATATATGAATGGAAGTGGATAATATACAATCATGTACACGAGTAAGCTTGCGAGGTGTACCGTGCATAATCGTCGAAGATTCGAATGCTAATTTTCTTGTGATTATAGACATGACCCATGTAACAGCACAATTTGCAAAGATGCTTAATAAGCTGCGAGTTAAGAATTGACTTAAAATGGGAAGTGAAACCATAAAATAGCTTTGAGAATTGGGCTAAATGGGTTGCCCATTAACCAACAGGAGATTTTGATGTGACAAAGAACAATAGTAGATTATAATTTGAATCTTTTAATGACACGAAAAAGAAAATGCAGAAGGTTAAACCGGGATTTAACAACTGTTATTGTCCTAGTTCACTTTGCATTTCGAATTGGGTATCAAAATCTCAAACAGATAGACCAAGTCTATAATTTCATCCTTATATGCAGAAAAAAGTCACAGAATTAAACGTCACAATAAGCGGTGCAAGTTGCAACTCATGCTTATTACAAAAGTAACGCATGAAATGCTGCATTCACCTCCATCATCAGATAAGAATATTGTTTATCCTGAAAACTCCCTCATTCAATTAGATTCTCCTTGTTTAATTTCATCCTCGATTTTTTGTAAGGATTAATTTGACATAACAGCTTTTGGAAAAGACATAGAAATCTTAAAATCTCAAATATTGAAGAGTCAAAATATAAGATTTCCCAACTTCACGCGAGAATCTTCACAACAGCACATGGTAATAAGATTGAGCTTCCCCACTTGTTCAGAAGAAGCTTCTTCTCAAGCTTTAGCTTCTCCCCAACTTGAAGCTTTCTCATTGGCCAAGACGCCTTATCTTCTTATTCTCTCAGACTATGTACATAACTTATTTAAAGGTTTATTCAGCGACTTGGTGCCATAAATTTAACGATAAAATTTATTAGTATAAAAGAAATAAGTTTTTTTTTTTATGAATTCAGTGTTAATAAAACTTTTTAAACGGACCTAAATCCCTATAAAAGGAGAAAGCCTGAGCACCATTATGCCATGACAAAGAGAACTTTCATTTCACTGCTTTTCAAGCTTTATATCAAGAGTCAACGCGATGGCTACCATTTCACTTAGGCACAACCCACAAGTAAACAACACTCATCAACAACGTGGAATCATCACTGAAGAAATCCAAGGACTCATAAGAGTTCACGGAGATGGACGTGTTGAAAGGCCACCACTTGTGCCTTATGTCTCATGCACAGTGGCATCATCAGAACGTGTTGTCACTGCCAGAGATGTTATGATCAACAAAGAGACCAATTTATGGGCACGTATTTATGTGCCACTAAGTTGTCACACCAAGCTTCCTTTGCTTGTTTACTTCCACGGTGGTGGATTCTGTGTTGGATCTGCTGCTTGGAGCTGTTACCATGAGTTCTTGACCAACCTTGCTTCCAAAGCAAACTGTGTCATTGTCTCTGTGGATTACCAATTAGCTCCTGAGAACTGTCTTCCTGCAGCATATGATGATGGTTTCAATTCTCTCATGTGGGTCAAGAGAGAAGCACTAAATGGGTCTTGTGTGCAAAACTGGTGGTTGAGTCATTGCAACCTCTCTTTCCTTTTTCTAGCTGGTGACAGTGCAGGGGCCAACATAGCTTACAATGTGGCCACACGCATGGGATCAAGCACTTCATGTCTAAATCCATTGTCTCTCAAGGGTCTTGTATTGATCCAACCTTTCTTTGGAGGAGAGGAAAGAACAAACACTGAAAAGCATTCACATAATCAGCCACCCAATTCAGCACTGACTTTATCAGTTTCTGACACTTATTGGCGCTTAGCACTTCCTCTTGGTGCTACGCGTGACCACTCATATTGCAACCCTCTTGCACATGGCATGGCCAAGTTGAGAGATTTGAAGCTTCCACCCTTTATGGTGTGCGTTTCAGAATTGGATATATTAAGAGATAGGAACTTGGAGTTCTCAAACACTTTGGCAAAAGCAGGGAAAAGGGTTGAAACAGTTATTTACAAAGGTGTAGGCCATGCATTCCAAGTGCTGCATAATTATCATCTTTCCCATTCTAGGACCCAAGAAATGATATCTCATATCAAGACATTTCTTAACCAGTAACTCCCGCGCTGCGTGTCTTATGTATGTTGTTTTTCTGTTCAGAATATCTGTTCACAATTTGATAGTGATTTTTAGAACATGAAAACTACGTAGAGTGGTTGGTAGTTATGGTAACTATAGTTTCCATCCGTTATCTGTACAAAGATTTACACGAGTTTGAGAAATTATTGTATCACTCAAATCTGGGCTTGTTGGCCAAATTATGAGTGGAACTCGTTAATTACAAGTGACACTGACCGATGTAATTTTATAATTCTGAATAAATTTCAATCAATAGTAATAATAGAGAGTATTTTAAAAAAATTATCAGATTTTTCAATTAACTTTTATCTCAAAATATTTCTTAGTTTTTGTAAAACAGTATTGCTCGTCTCCATCCCCAATGTTAATAATTAAACCTTTAATAAACAAAATCTCTTGATTGATTTTGAGTTCAGAAACTCGGATAGATATGGTGTTATTCCTTTTTGCACCATATTCCATTATACCTGAAGTTTAAGCTCAGAATAGTGTCGCACTAAGCTACATCCACGTGCAAATTTCAATGTAATGAGGGGAAAAAAATTACAGAAACAGAAATGAAAGCGAAAACATTAATAAAAGGGGTGGTCCGTGTTCTGAGTATCTTTATTCTTTCTTTAGAAATTGTCTTTGAACAGCCACATTCTAGTGCGATTCCTGTAGAGATATCATCTTCTGAACTAGTTCTTCAGAAAGGAATACGAGTCATGATTTCTTTAAAAGGAATGTTGCTTTACTAGAAGGACGTAGTTAACTTCGTTGTGCCATAGGACCACTTATGTGCATGTGATTGGGAGCATTATGGACATCATAGCAAAATGGCACCTTCTGAATTATTTTCTTTGGTCTAAGAGTACTACCGGTATCCAAATAAACCTACAAAACTAGATATCACCACTACCCACCTTTTCAAAAAAAATATTTTAACTCATTTTTTTTATCGGATAGTCATATACTATCTCATAAAATAATATATTAAAAATATTTATTTTTATATAATATATTTTTTATTATAAACACGTAGAGAAATAAAATTATTTAAAAAAATATTTTCAATTTTAATTCATTGAATCAGCCAACGAAAGTTAATGTTTAAAAAATAAGAAAATAAATACTTATAAAAATTGTAAACATAAAATATTTTATATTATAAAATTCATTAATGCAAAAAGTTAATAAATGTTTATAAATTAAACTTTTGTCTCATTTTAATATGATATAATTTAATTTTAAATTGAAACAAATTATGTTTCTAAATATTTATCTTAACTAGAATTTTGTGATAAAACTATATATATATATATATATATATATTAACAATAATAATAATAATTAATTTAAAATAATTATAAAATACTTAATTTTATTTGCTTCATTAATTTATAATTTTAAACCAATAAATATACATAAAATTAACTACACTATAGTATTAATATGATATTAAAAAATATTATTTATACACTAAATTAAATACATATTTATATATTACATGTATATTAATAAAAAATAAAGTTAATTATTATATAGTTAAAAAAATAAATTAAACAATAAATTAAAACTAATAAAAATAAATGAAAAATACTAGAATTGATTGAATTTACCAATATAATTATTAAAATTTAATAGTTGTCTGTTTACTTTTATTTAAATTAATTATTATTTTAATAATTTATTTTATAAAATGTTATTTTATCTTTTAATTATTTTATAGTTAAAAATCATTATTATTTCTTAATTAAAATTACAAATGATTAATATACCATGATAAATTTAATTAAAAAAACTAAACAAATGCATAAGCTAAATTTAATTTAATTTTATAATATTATTTAATGTAATTATTTGATATTGTTTTGTATGATAAAATTTTAATATAATTAAATAAATAATAAATTTCATATTTTAAAAAGTTTTAAATTTAAAATATAATTTTTTAAATAAAATAATTTAGTAAATATTATAATCAAATAATATAATAATTGTTAATTACTTCCTACAACATGTGAGTTAACTTACCCTAACTCTGAACTTAACCCACAATTTTTCTTATACTAGGATTTAGATGCAAAAAAAAACCTACAAACTATAAGGCTTTAAAAAGAAAAAACTGTGTAGTAGGATTAAGAAGGGTAGGGTGGGTTGTGAGCTTCAACTCAAGGTTTAATTTCAAGTAATAAAAATAAGTCCATACTAAAACTTCTAAATAAATTAGAACATTTTTTCTTAAGTAATATATGAACCCAATGATTGATACTTTTGGATTAATTACACCGACATCAAGACAATATGTTGATTGTTGGATTATAATATTATAAAAATCACTAATATTTACATTGAGATTTTGCCTAACATACCTCTGTTAAATCAGAGGATGCATTGCACATTTTCATTCAATCTTAGTTAGCCAAAAAAAAATAAAATATTATTATTATTTATAAAAAAAACACACAAGTTAACATTTTATCCTCATTTAAGTTTTTCCTTCCTTTGTTTCTCTTCCCTGTTTATAATGCATGTGTTATCTTGTAATCATAATGGATTAACATGGTTGGCATTTTTGTAGTAAACTCCGTCACTTTTGTTGAACTTTTATGTTGCCTATTTTTTTGTAAATTATTTTTCAAATTTTATATTTTAAGATAAAGTTTGATATAAAAGTATTTATAAAAATAATATAATCTAAATACATGGGTTAATGTTTGTAGGGACTATTAGTATTAACGATTTTATTTGGGACCAAATTGGTACAAAATTAACCTTTTTAAATACTAATTATATATTACAAATAAAAAATGTTAAAAATTAAAATATCATATTATTATAACTTTAAAAGTGATGTGGTGTTGGTTCAACAGACACAAGGAGGATGGGTGCAATGTGATTTGGTATTGAGCGGTGCTACATTGCTTATGTATTCAGAGTTAAAGATGATATGCTCTAATGCTTAATATATAATATTCAAATGTGAGAAACACACATCTAAAGTACTATTACACACACAATTATAAAACTCCAACATATGATCAACTTGGTCAAGTTTTGTGATGAGGTTCATAGCTTAACCAACAAATCACTTATTGTAATATTTGTTTATAACTTAATAAGAAATAGAAGTTATTATAAGAAATATAATTTATTTAAAAAACTATTTAAAAATAATATAACTCAAATCCAATCGTCACTAACGATGAAATTGATTTTTCATTCAAAATCTTAAAAAAAAAGAGAAAATAAATAACTTGAGGCAGGTAATTTGCAGTTTATTCCACATATACGCTCACACCATTTCGACGGATCCAGGCAATTCCCTGAACGATCATCAGAACATTCTCTCGACACATAGTGCATTGCAACAAAGTAAAGTTGGATTTCAATGGCGAAGAATTACATGGCGGCGGCGACGGCGCCGCTGTCACGGTTCGGTGTGCTGGTGGCGCAACTGGAATCCATAGTCGCCTCTGCAGTTCACAAATCTCCGGAGCCACTCCTCTGCTTCGATCTCCTCTCCGATCTCATATCCGCCATCGACGAGGACACCAAGGTCTCTCTCTCTCTCAACCTTCCATCACATCGCACTGGATTCTTTCTTCTTTATCATCGGTCGTTCGTTTTCTCGCATTTTTTAGTTCGTTTGATATTTGATTTGTAATTCCGCTGATTTACTTTGTGTTCTTCTCTCTGTTTGGATTCATTCACGGTTTTAGCTCAAATCTTTTTTCGTAGTAGGTTAAGTTTGAGATTCAGAATAATACACATTTGCTTGTGTCAGCTCGGATAAGCCGTTGTTGCTTCGTTCTTACCTCGCTATCATTCTGTGATGAGCTGAGCTATAGTTTCAAATTCAATGCATGCACAACATGACACTTCGAATATTTGAATTAGTAACCTAAGACTAAGATAAAGCTCTTACTGGTTTTTCAGAATGGGCTCTTGTGGAATAGAATACTGTGAACATCTCTATGTTATTCTTTTAATTTTATGGTTTATAGAGGTTTTGGCATTTATATTTTAACTTGAAACGCTTGCAATGTTGATTCACGACATCTGATGTTAAAAAATATATTGTCCAGGAGAATATTTTATTGTGGCAAAGGAGATGTGAGGATGCTTTATATTCCCTGCTTGTTATTGGTGCACGACGGCCTGTGCGTCACCTGGCATCGGTAGCGATGGCAAAGATCATATCTAAGGGAGATGCAATATCAATTTATTCCAGAGCAAGCAGCCTTCAGGGATTTCTTTCTGATGGGAAGAAAAGTGAACATCAGAAAATTGCTGGTTTGTCAAAATTAAATATTTCTTGAAGTTTTAGATGGATATTGAATTGTTGCCATGCTTGTGATTGATTCTTTTTAGTTCTAATTATAAGAAGACTAACGATTTTGTTTCTGTTATCGTATTTTTCCTGAACATGATATTATAGGTGCTGCACAATGCTTGGGAGAACTGTATAAGCACTTTGGCAGAAGAATCACTTCAGGTTTACTTGAAACAACAATCATAGCAACTAAACTCATGAAATTCAATGAGGTATTTCCTTTCAACTTGCATGTTAAAATTACTAATAAGTGAAGGGCCAAATTCAAATTTGGCACATCGAAAAATTTCCCTTGGTTGGTGTTGTTGGTTAATCCTACCTTTTAATTACCTTTTTTTTCTGATTCTTTTTCTGTCCCTATTTAAGTTGAAAGATTCATTATCTTTTTTTTTTTTTAATATATATTGAAATGCATGTAAACCAAATGTTGAGTGAAAAGATGCAGTTTTTGATTGGACTGTAATATCCATAAAAAAATTTGGCACTAGGTTGTAGAGAATGTGTTTAGCATCACTAGAGGATTTTATTAAGTTAGTTCGAAGTAAATGCATTTGTATATGATCATGAACAAGAAGCATCAACTGAGATTAAGACAATGAAAATAAGAATATCTTTTTTTTTTTAAATATCTGGTAACAGCTCATCTTTCATAGATGTAGGC